GGGTGGTGGATACTTATGGTCCCTACTGTATGTCAATAAATTGACAAGAATCGTAAAAGGACGCGATGTAGTATTAATATTTTCACTTTTGGAGGGAACCATTTAACACTCAAACTTTTGTTGTTCCAAATCCTCCGAACCTTTTTAATAATTTAGCAACGCATTATTCAGTAATATCAAATTCAAAAAATAATAATACTAATTTACCCCCCCCCCCCCAATCAACTTTGCCATTTCCGAATCCAATCCTTCACCCTCATTACCCTAATTGTCTGCAGCTGCATTTTGCTCTTTAGATTTTTCTTTTCTTTTCTTTTTGTTTCTGTTTCTCCTCTTCTTCTTACTGACGCATTTGTTCGACACGCGCCTCGAATTCATATTCTTGTGGTTTCTCTTCTTTTTGCTTTTTAGACAAGCCAGTCGTTTTGGTACTTGATCCAATGTATTTCGCTCTACTTCGGCCTAGTGCTCTTTGATCTTTATGAAAAGGGAATAAAAAGTTAAGTATTGTCGTCTACAAATCTTTTATGTCCCTATTCTCCCTACAAATTACAAATCCACATCAAATAAGCTCACACAAATACTCACATTTTTTCCATTAATGTGATCCAAATAATTGATACTATCCTTCAGCACACAATCGCACACTTTACAATAATATCCTGCCTGGTTGTTTCGAGGAAATACTAGCGCTTTGAACCAACTAGGTCCTATTCAAGTTACATCGAGCACAACTTTATCTGTGCGCACCGTAAGCAAATCACGAGGTCCCTCTTCATCCAAAACATCGTCATCTGGTTTAGGTTTTAGATCTTTATGTTTTCGCTCTTCCTCCTCTTCTAGCTGTTGTTCACGATGATCTCGTGCACGTGTTCTTGTTTGTCCCAGGTATGGCGAAAGCTTGTGCGTGCTATTGTTGAAAGTGATAAAGGTTAGAATGGAAAAGAGTTGAAAAAGAAGAAAGGTAATTTAAATGATGGTTACCGACTGTGTAGCATAGACTCCTTTCTT